CCTTCGTCCTTTACAGATTGCAATAATGAAAATAAAAAATTCGAAAAAACTGGATACTCACACGATATGTCTGTTGTTTTTTGTTTGTTTTTTGTTTTGTATTTCATGTCAACGGCACAAACAACTAAAAGACATTGACAAGTTCAAATCGGCTCATTAGATGTCTTATGAATCAATTAAAAAATTGTCTAGACTACGATTTCTTTAGATAATGTTACCATGATTGAACGCCTTCTAAACTTGAGTGGAGTTTAGTGATTTCTAATTTATTTATGTTTTACTCTTGGTTTGCATCCTGTAGAGTCTCCGAAAATCGTGTTTTAATCATAGTTACGTTTTTGCTTTTCTGTTGATGTCCGTTTTGACCAAATACCTCCTAACATTTCTATGTATCTGTACATTCCTGGATTTTAAATGGATTTTGTTGAGGCATCCTGATGAAAGTTAATCCCAGAAGGCTTTTCTGACGTACAAATTTATAGCGTGTTATTTTCAATCAAATATATAAAAAAGCTAATCGAAGTTTGCAGTAGGATATGAAACTATGACCAGATGGTAGAAACAAAACAAACAATTAATGGTTCACAAAAACTTATTAAAATAACTCGAAAATTCAATTAATCGATCTCACTTTGATCCAACGGATAGCGAGTCAATTCTTTTTCCAAGTAAACCGTCGTACATTTCCTTTTAAGCCCGGTGATAATCACATTATGTGACATAAGTCATAAACGGACCAAGAGGTTATGACTAATACAAAGCTTATCAGTCAATGATAATCTGTGATGTAAATGTTTTTGAAATGCTGTTTTTTTTTTAATTTTGATTCATTTGTGTGTTTCGGACTTTAGTCTGGCGTCCAGGTTTTCTTTATTTTTTGGTTTATTTGTTTATGTTTCGGAGTTTATTGTGGGTTCCATTTCGCTGAACTAGTAACGAAACGAAAAGAAACAGTCCATAACATACTACACAGAAACCTAAAGATTGACCAACATTATCCCTACCAAAAACATGGAGGGAACTTGCATGTTCTGTGTGAGTAAGCAGATTTTGCTTCCTCAAATGACACCTGTCGTGTTCATCATATCAAATAAAATGTCGGCGATAACTCGCATATAGAGATGTAAATGTTTTCGCAGTGATGATTTTAAAGTACCAATACATTATGATTGTGCCAATTAAACCAACAGACTAAACATTCCATCAGATCTTTTATAAAAAATACAAATAACATAATAAATAATGTTAAATATTACAATGTACAATCCTGAACATAAACAAAATGATTAGAAAGAACTTTGGCAAAACTGTTCATGGAGTATATTAAGTCAGACATAAATGGAATACACAAAAATATGAATAGGAGACAAGTCATATGAATCGAATTTCCTTTCAAAAAGGTTAAGAAAATTAGTAAGTCCACATCTTAAGAATTACATGAAATAGTTAGACTTCTATTTTGTTAGATATAGAAAACAATGTTTTGTTTATGATATGTTAATCTTGAGGTATATTTCTGATTGAACTTTTTTTTCATTTATATTTGTAAATAATTCCTGGACTTATCCTAAATAAAATTTATCAGCATGTTTAACGAGGAAACGCCTTCTAAACTTTAATGCAGTTTAGTGATTTCTAATTTATTTATGTTTTACTCTTGGTTTGTATCCTGTAGAGTTTCCGAAAATCGTGTTTTAATCATAGTTACGTTTTTGCTTTTCTGTTGATGTCCGTTTTGACCAAATACCTCCTAACGTTTCTATGTATCTATACATTCCTGGATTTTAAATGGATTTTGTTGTGCCTTCCTGATGAAAGTTAATCCAAGAAGGCTTTTCGGACGTACAAATTTATACCGTGTTTTTTCAATCAAATATATAAAAAAGCTAATCGAGGTTTGCAGTAGGAAAGCAAACAATGACCAGATAGTAGAAACAAAACAAAACATTAATGGTTCACAAAAACTTATTAAAAAAAACTCAAATATTCAATGAATCGATCTCTCAACAGATAGCTAGTCAATTCTTTTTTCCAAGTAAATCGTCGTATATTTCCTTTTAAACCCGGTGATAATCACATTTTGTGACATAAGTCATAAACGGACCAAGAGGTTATGACTAAATCAAAGCTTATCAGTCAATGGTAATCTGTGATGTGAATGTTTTTGAAATGCTGTTTTTTTAATTTTGATTCATTTGTGTGTTTCGGACTTAAGTCTGGCGTCCAGTTTTTCTTTATTTTTGGTTTATTTGTTTATGTTTCGGAGTTTATTGTGGAGTCCATTTCACTGAACTAGTATACATTATTGTTTAGAGACCAGCTGAATTCCGCCTCCGGGTGGTTTTGTCCCCGCTGAGTTGAAGATCCATTGTCGGCCTTGGGCTGTTTTCTGCTCTATGGTGGAGTTGTTGTCTCATTTACACATTCTCCATTCTACTGACTCCAATTAAAGTACTAACACAATAGGGGAGAAGATACCAAGGGGTAAGAAACAAGAGGCTCTCAAGAGCCTAAATCGCTCACCTGTATTTCAGAGGAGAAGATTTTTAAATGTTAGCAAACTTGATGAACAAATTGTGTAAAATTGTCTTTAAAGGGCAATCACTTCTTAAGGGGTCAATTGACAATTTTGGTCATATTAACTTTTTTGTAGATCTTACTTTGCTGAACATTATTGCTGCTTACAGTTTATATATGTCTATAATAATATTCAAAATAATAACAAAAAACTGCAAAATTTTGTTAAAACTACCAATTCGGTGGCAGCAACCCAACAATGGGTTGTTCGATTCCTCTGATTATTTCAGGGCCGATAGATCCTGACCAATTTAACAATTTTACCCCATGTCACATTTGCTCTTAATGATTTAGTTTTTGAGATATAAGCCAAAAACTGCATTTGACCCTTATGTTCTATTTTTAGCCATGACGGCCATGTTTGTCGATGGATACAAACTTCGGATACAATTTATAAACAAGATACCCTAAGGAACATTTAGTTAAAGTTTGAAGGTAATTGGCCCAGTAGTTTCAGAGAAGAAGATTTTTAAATGTTGGCAAACTTGAACAAATAGTGTAAAATTGTCTTTAAAGGGCAATCACTCCTTAAGTGGTCAATTGGTCAATTGACAATTATGGTCATTTAACTTTTTTGTAGATCTTACTTTGCTGAACATTATTGCTGCTTACAGTTTATATATGTCTATAATAATATTCAAAATAATAACAAAAAACTGCAAAATTTTGTTAAAACTACCAATTCGGTGGCAGCAACCCAACAATGGGTTGTTCGATTCCTCTGATTATTTCAGGGCCGATAGATCTTGACCAATTTAACAATTTTACCCCATGTCACATTTGCTCTTAATGATTTAGTTTTTGAGATATAAGCCAAAAACTGCATTTGACCCTTATGTTCTATTTTTAGCCATGACGGACTTTTTTGTCGATGGATACAAACTTCGGATACAATTTATAAACAAGATACCCTAAGGAACATTTAGTTAAAGTTTGAAAGTAATTGGCCCAGTAGTTTCAGAGAAGAAGATTTTTAAATGTTGGCAAACTTGAACAAATAGTGTAAAATTGTCTTTAAAGGGCAATCACTCCTTAAGGGGTCAATTGGTCAATTGACAATTATGGTCATTTAACTTTTTTGTAGATCTTACTTTGCTGAACATTATTGCTGCTTACAGTTTACATATATCTATAATAATATTCAAAATAATAACAAAAAACTGCAAAATTTTGTTAAAACTACCAATGCGGTGGCAGCAACCCAACAATAGGTTGCTCGATTCGTCTGAAAATTTCAGAGCTGATAGATCTTAACCAATTGAACAATTTCACTCCTTGTCAGATTTGCTCTAAAAGCTTTAGTTTTTGAGATATAAGCCAAAAACTGCATTTTACGCCTATGTTCTATTTTTAGCCATGGCGGCCATGTTTGTCGATGGATCAAAACTTCGGATACAAATTATAAACTAGATACCCTAAGGAACATTTAGTTAAAGTTTGAAGGTAATTGGCCCAGTAGTTTCAGAGGAGAAGATTTTTAAATGTTAGCAAACTTGATGAACAAATTGTGTAAAATTGTCTTTAAAAGGCAATAACTCCTTAAGGGGTCAATTGACAATTATGGTCATATTAACTTTTTTGTAGATCTTATGTTGCTGAACATTATTGCTGCTTACAGTTTACATATATCTATAATAATATTCAAAATAATAACAAAAAACTGCAAAATTTTGTTAAAACTACCAATGCGGTGGCAGCAACCCAACAATAGGTTGTTCGATTCGTCTGAAAATTTCAGAGCTGATAGATATTGACCAATTGAACAATTTTACCCCATGCCCCTGTCAGATTTGCTCTAAAAGCTTTAGTTTTTGAGATATAAGCCAAAAACTGCATTTTACGCCTTTGTTCTATTTTTAGCCATGGCGGCCATGTTTGTCGATGGATCAAAACTTCGGATACAATTTATAAACTAAATACCCTAAGGAACATTCAGTTAAAGTTTGAAGGTATTTGGCCCAGTAGTTCCAAAGGAGAAGATTTTTGAAATAGTTTACGACGACAGACGACGACAGACGACGACGACAGACGACGATGACAGACGACGGACGACGACGGACGCCAAGTGATGGCATTAGCTCACATTGGGCCCTTCGGGCCCCTGTGAGCTAAAAAGCCGACAAGTCAACAACAAAACAACCAATGCCAAGGCCAACAAGATATTTAACGAAACGAAAAGAAACAGTCCATAACATACTACACAGAAAACTAAAGATTTACCAGCATTATCCCTACCAAAAACATGGAGGGAACTTGCATGTTCTGGGTGAGTAAGCAGATTTTGCCTCCTCAAATGACACCCGCCGTGTTCATCATATTAAATAAAATGTCGGTGATAACTCGCATATAGGGATGTAAATGTTTTCGCGGTGATGATTTTAAAGTACCAATACATTATGATTGTGCCAATTAAACCAACAGACTAAACATTCCATCAGATCTTTTATAAAAAATACAAATAACATAATAAATAATGTTAAATATTACAATGTACAATCCTGAACATAAACAAAATGATTAGAAAGAACTTTGGCAAAACTGTTCATGGAGTATATTAAGTCAGACATAAATGGAATACACAAAAATATGAATAGGAGACAAGTCATATGAATCGAATTTCCTTTCAAAAAGGTTAAGAAAATTAGTAAGTCCACATCTTAAGAATTACATGAAATAGTTAGACTTCTATTTTGTTAGATATAGAAAACAATGTTTTGTTTATGATATGTTAATCTTGAGGTATATTTCTGATTGAACTTTTTTTTCATTTATATTTGTAAATAATTCCTGGACTTATCCTAAATAAAATTTATCAGCATGTTTAACGAGGAAACTTTATGATTAGAATGGCTCAAAGATTAGTTCGCCTCAATCTTATTTAGAAACAACTTCAAATGGTGTTTCTATAGGAAAACGGACTGAAAGCTACAAGGCTATTTCTATTTTTTCCAATATATATGTGCACTGAAAAGAGTTTTAATCTCATTCTATGTTTGTTTTCATCTGAATATATCAAATATCCAATGATCAATCTTTAACCGGTTAATACATTTAATGTAAAAACTCACAGTGATCGTACACACGGCAAAAAGGTCATTTGGACAAAAAAGTCGAATACTTAACTTTAACATGTTTAAGATAGAATATTTGTTTACCCTTTTACAATATTTCCCAATTCAGCAATGTGTCGTCATTTTTTTTTTTAATAATTCTAACTAATAGCTGTAGAACAGACGTAGTTAATATAAACAAATAAACAAATTTGAATTAAAGGAAAAAATCTAACAGTACATTTAACAATTGTTACTTAAGAAAGCGCATTATGTTAAAAATACAATTAATCAACGTAAATGCAGTTCACTACATTCATATGTTTTTACATTACTAGACAATGGAATATTATTACTGGCCATACATTTAAATAATTCATTGCACATCACTACAGGGATAACATATTGAGCAGGACGGACTTAAAAGACTAGATTGGTCCTCTTTTACCGTGTGGGACAGTCTCTTTTCATTACACACTTCTTGTTTAACAAAACTTGTCCCTTAGGACAAAGGCATTCTGGGGCACATGTGTCTCTACAGATTTTTCGCCTTGAGTATGAATTATCGCAGGTTCGTTCACATTTCTTTGTACATTTTTTGAAACGTGCACCTTCTGGACATTGATCTGAAAAACAAAGGTCACATTTAGTATTTTAGTTATGCACATGTTTTAACGAAAATACCGAAATCAAAGATACTTTCAAAAAAAGGAAAGCCAATAAAAACCTGAGAAAATCAGATGTTAAACTAAATCAACCAAGGGAACGAATAGAAAACAAACGACATATTCTTGACTTGGTACAGGCATTTTCCGAAGAAAATTGTAGGTTACACCTAGTTTTATAGCTAGCTAAACCTATCGCTTGTATGACCGTTGTTTATAGTTTCGTTATTTTGACAAAATAGGGTGAGCAACCCGATCAGACATAATTGGTTAATGTGAGAATAATTGGGATCCTGCAGCCAAAACTGTGTGAACATACAAATCAGGTATTTCATTTATGGTTGAATGATTATATCAAGCGTTCGATACTCGTTATTCTACACCAAAAATTATCATCAAACAAAGGTGAAATGAACTTTCAGTGAGAAGTATTACGGTGGCATCACTTTGTGTAGCCATATCTTTAAATGCAAGATTTAAAGTTTTCTTCTGTACTTGTTAGACAGAATAGACGAAATTCCACAAGATAAGATAATACTGCAGCATTTGTTTTATTGAGCTTGTTAGTATGATATTACTAAGCCTTTAAATAACTATGGACTGAAACCAAATTTATAACGTCCCCGAATATATATGACTGTAAAATACATGTCTTCTTTTGTTTTAAATACTTTTCCACATTTTTATGTTTCTATACTTTCTTAATTGTCATTTTGTCTGAATCGTAGTAAACTATAAATAGCATATATGTAACAAATTAAATACTTTTAGAACAATTAACAGCTCCTACATTGTACTATTTTCAATGCATTGATTTTGTACAATATGTCTACTTGTTTTCATCAACATTATACTTTTCCTATTTTGAGTTGAAGTAGTTAAACAAATGAGCTGCGTCGGATAGAAATCTACCTCATGTAAATGAATATCAATACATCTGTTAACCTATTTCAGGTTGAAAAAATCTCTACGAAAGTCTGAAACTGTTTGATAATTCAGTTGTTATAAGAACCCAACAAAGTTATATCATATTTTAATGTTCCAAAATCAATCAAAGTCTTATACATGTACGTGCATACGTGCACTTGCATAATGTCGATTTCTATCCGACGCAGCTTAAATAATGTTTAAATTTGTCTTTAACATGTTGCAAATCCAAAGATTTATGATGCATGTCCTGGTTCTTTTATTTGTTCTTTTTATATTTAGTTACACAAAATACAGATGATTAGTAAATGTATTCCGTTTAACTTTCATGTAAAAAATGAGTCACAAAGGCATTAGAAACCAATAATCATGCACGTGTTTGTAAAAATATTGTTATATGTAACTTAACATTTGACATGATGAATTTCCTATGTCATTTTGACAAATATCATGTAAAACATAATGAAAGGTCTGTATCTCATCATTTACGGTCTTACAACTCTTGAACTTTGTATATTCTTTCTTTTGCTTTCTAGTTATTTTGATTCGAGTGCCTTTGATCAGTCTTAGGTAGACGGAACACGCGTTTAGCGTACCAAATCATAAGCCTGGTATCTTTGAAGAGTTTTTTAGTAATTTATTGTAACCTCTAACTCCAATATTAACAAGGATGAATTCAAATCAAAATATAAACTCACGTGGACAAATTATTTCTTCATCCCACTTGGTTGAAATTCCAAAGCGTGAACACGCATGTGCATAAGCTTTGAATGATTCACATGCACATACTTGATCTTGTGGACAGTCGCACATATCCGTAATACATGACCTAAAACATAAATTGACTTCCAATATAAAATATCATTTTCTCAAATCCCCTGAGCATCATCTGAATGTTCTTGCGTTTGTTTGTACTGTATTCCTGTCACGTAGTGTTGTCATTTAGTGGTATTTTTAACATTGCCATATGAACGAGCGGTTTGGCTAGCCATAAAACCAGTTTCAACCCACCTTTTATTTTCTTAAAATGTCCTATACCAAGTCAAGAATATGGCAGTTTTTATCAGACAGTCCGTTTCTATGTATGTTGGCGTTTACTTTTGTTGTAGTTCAGTGTTTCTTCTGTTCCGTTGTTTTCCTGTTATAGTTGACGTGTTTCCCTCGGTTTTAGTTTGTTACCCGGATTTGTTTTTGCTTAATAGAATTATGACTATTAAACAGCGGTATACTACTGTTGTCTTTATGTATACACAGTAGATAAATTGTGTTGAAATGGTTCTTTTCTATGTTTTTACAATGTAATAAGCAAGTATATTATTTTCAGATTATCGTTGTTTATTCAATTGATTTGGGACTATTTTTCATCTTCATGTACTAGTCAAGACAGCTAGGAACTATTTCTACCACTGAAGACCACATTGAGAAAACAAAATAAAACACACGAAAAGAATGTTAAAACCTTTACATATCATATATTTTATTGATAGGAATTAAACGCCAAGAACACAATTTTCAAGATATACTTTGAATTAAGAGAACAACAGATAGAAATCGGAATCATTTATTTACATTACTACGATTGGGTCTGTACTAATACTAATGATTGATTACCAATCCAGGAAATTCATCCAACAAGCAACCAGCGCTTAACTAACTGTAGATGGTATATGCTGTTTGTAAATATTCACGTTCTAAGTTTCAAGTTATATAAGAATGGTTCGTCCAAGCAAACTATATGCGAAGATGGTTGGTTTGTTGCTCAGTCTTAAATTTTTTGTATGTAGTGTGTGTAAACTGTAGTTTGTTGTTTTTCAATTGTTGTTCGTATTTTACGGTACACGTCAACACTAGACAAGATTATAGTTTTCTGTAAATTAAAGGATCGATATTTATAAAACTTACCTATAATAAGGTCCAACGTCTACCCTGCGTCGACACTTTGTAAACATGCTTCCCAAAATAGTACTACATTCAGTCTTAGCTCTTTTCAATGCATGTTTTTCCGTATCACAAGATGGCAATTGGGTCTCTTGTTTATCTACAATCGCACATGCAGCCCTACTGCCAACTCTCCAAGTGTCTCCGAATTCTTCACTATTTTTGTAAACTTTCTGGTCTCTTCCACGCATGTCATCATCAGCATTTCCGTTATAGTTACCACACAGTCCCGCCATTTTAGTTCTATAACGACTAGCAACAGTGACTTCTACATAACTATGACCGTCCCATACTACTTTAAGACCTATATTTGATTGAAAGACTATGGATTGTCCCTCTCTAAAAAGTTTAAAATGAGGCAATTTAGTAAACGGAAGTCGCACCCTTTTCCTGTTTACTTTTACTACCCGTTTTTGATGAAGTCCTACTTTATGTCCTGATATAAAAATGGATAACATTTTAGTCCACGTGAACCACGGCGATGTTCTCGCCTCGTTCCTGACCCGTATAGCAAATGATTTACCCGATTCATCTTCTGCCAAGAGGTATTTACATGGTCCTTGGAAATTAAAAATCTTTCCATCGAATGTTCGGTAATGAGGATCGCCATACACAGTGCAAACACCCTCAACTGCAATGATAAATGGAGAATTACAAATATAGATATATATCTCTGTTAAATTACACTTGAATTCATATTACAGGTAATGGTTTTAGTATGACCAGTTCAAAATCAAGTTACTTTTATAAAACAAAAATAGTATACATAGTTATACACACTTTCTGCATACATGTATATAATTTACCACAATGTATTACAGCATTACTGGTTATGGTTATGGTTTAAACAAACTCAGAAATATTTCAATGCTACAGTGATAACGAGTCAACAGTAAAGATAATTCAACGTTTAGAGAGATATTTTTGCAAGCGAACATTAAACAGTGACACGCCTGGTTTTAACTGAAAACGTTTGTTATACTACAATTATATAATACAAATATCGAAAACAAAATTTTTCTTGTTTTTTAGGTATATTCAAAAGAATGTCCATACAACCTGACTTCTTTTAAAAAACAAACGCTCCAAACAAGACGCGGTACAACAATAGCTTAACATCAATTGTATCACAGCTTTCAGTAGTAATTACTTTCTCTAACATATACCTTTTTGTAGATCTAGGTGTTCAGTAACATAATTATATAAATCACCGGGAGTAACAAGTATATTTTGAGAACCGAGCTCAATTATCATTGTGATATATTCAATAATAAAGCACCTTGGAAAATACTAAACAAAGGATATATACATGTGTAAGCCCAATATTCATATCAAAATTCGCTCTTACCTTCTATGCACCGTGGACAGCATTCTTCTTTCACATATTGTAATTTATAGCCCTGAAAAAATATGAAAAGACTTGTTTTCCGTGGAAACGTTTTAAGTAAATTTAGGGGTACAGAACACTTTAGGAAGTTTACTCTTTAAGACTCAGCTGAACGTTTTAATCACATACTATTAGTAAAGAGAAAATTAAGCTTCTCAATGATCAAAATTAGTGTTTGTCAAACTGCTATATATCCAATGAAATAAGTCCTGTAAATTGTGTGATTAAAATTTCTTGACATTTTTATATTTTTGTCAACAGGTCAAAGTAAATACTATGTCAATTTTTTATGAAAATTAAACGAGACAAATCTATTCTAGTCAAGGTGTTTGGTACCCCTTAAAAGCCTAAAAATAACAATGTTAATAAAACTGTATACACATATAAGTAAGATATGTAGAGATAAATAGCAACATATTCTGTACTTATGTTATAGTATAATGAATAGCCAATATACTATTGAAAATGAACTAATAATAATTGCATTAACAATATATTATTGAAATTGAACTAGTGAATGGTCAGTATACTACTGACATTTGACGAATTACACATGTTCGTATAAATCTGAATTCGAATCTGTAATGAAAAAAATGAAATTCTAACATGACGTTCTTCAAACGCTTTGAGTACACACCCGTGGTAAAATATGAATATATTGTTTGGACTGTTCCAATCGTATCCTCCCGCGTCATATGCTTTTTTATGAATGAGCTACGCGACGTCATAGAACGATGACGTAAGAATATAAGCATTTTACGGAAAAATACACGCTTGTGAAACCGAAAATCATCACAACAAGGAAACGTAAACAGACGATGCTTAAATGTGTGATATAAGCCATTTTTTGCATACATATAAGACATATAAATACAATTATCATTTAGATTCATCCAAACCTATCTAAATATGTTATTTTAAATAGTTTAAGCATGTAATTTATTCAGTTTGCGCCGGTCTTTTACGTCAATTTAATAGTGCGTTTATTTATGGGAACGGCAAATAATGCCTTCATCTAGAGCGCTTCGATCCAAAACAATTGCCGTACTTGTCCTATTAGAATCGAAATAATTCATGGGGGCTTGAATATATCGCTCACGGTACAATATTTGTCATAAAGGGCCAACCCGTGGTAAAATCACGATATATTCAAGCCCCCATGAATTATTTCTTAAACAGCAATACTATTGTTCAAATATTCATAACTTATATGTTGATTTTTTTATGTTTCCAGTGTGTGTAGCAAAGTCATTTGCATATATTTTGTTGAAGTATAGTTCACAATATATTCTCAGACCTAAGTTTTGATTCTAAAAACATATTTTCAACCTAGCAGATACTGTTTTATCTTCTGTTAATCCTACTGTTGATTGTTTTGCTGGTATTGGAATAATCTTTTTTATTACAGTAGAAAACATTAACTGTATTTCTGAATAATAACCAGTTTGTCATGCTTTGTACTAATACATACCATTGGACACCAAAGAGTATTTTTAAAATTTCCCATGCTTTGTACTAATACATACCATTGGACACCAAAGAGTATTTTTACAATTTTCCATGCTTTGTACTAATACATACCATTGGACACCAAAGAGTATTTTTACAATTTCCCATGCTTTGTTCTAATACATACCATTGGACACCAAAGAGTATTTTTACAATTCCAAATGCTTTGTACTAATACATACCATTGGACACCAAAGAGTATTTTTACAATTTCCCATGCTTTGTTCTAATACATACCATTGGACACCAACGAGTATTTTACAATTTCCCATGCTTTGTTCTAATACATACCATTGGACACCAAAGAGTATTTTTACAGTATGTCATGTTTTGTACTAATACATACCATTGGACACCAAAGAGTATTTTAACAGTTTTCCATGCTTTGTTCTAATAAATACCATTGAACACCAAAGTGTATTTTAACAGTTTTCCATGCTTTGTTCTAATACATACCATTGGACACCAAAGAGTATTTTTACAGTTTTCCATGCGACACCTGGTAGCACCATCATCACAGTAACATGACATACATATATGAGGTTGCCACTTTTGTCCATCCTGCACATATATAAAATAAAAGTATCCTTTGGAAATTAGGTGAGTTTAAATCTCTTTTCTTGATTTACCTTCATCAGGAATGCTACAACCCACATAAATAAAGCCAGCAATGTGTAAGTTCCTAATACTACACAAAGAGATGTATACTAGTAAATAGAAGGGATTAAAAAAGAAATGCCAGCTCCATCAAAGGTCAACAGAGGGAGTTGGAACCTTAGTTTCCTAATACTTAATACATTTTGTCTATATGTATTTCCCCCTAGGCTTTAAGTAATATTTCAGTTATCATCTCTTAACTGAGACACAAGTCAGGTTTGATAAGATTGGAACCAATGATTCGAACCAGTCTTATCCTTAAATTTGCACTGTTTATTCGACTTGATTGTCAATTCACTGTCTCTTCTTGATTTTCCTTTTTCCCTACTTTTTTTGGCAAATGAGTCAGTCCTCTTTTAGTTTTTTCACTGTAATATGTTTTGCATTTCATAATGTTTGCCGATTTGAACAATGTTTTTACAACACGTGTTGAGCTTTGCCCAATTGTTTTGTAGATTACAAATTGGCTATTTAAACATACTATTTTATCCATGTAGTTCTTTGCATAATTGTTCTAATTTATTTACAGTTTTGTATGTTGAACACCATCTGTGTACCTGTTTATTCCCAAACTAGTGTCTTGTTTTTGTTTCTCATCTTAACTGGTCTTCTGTAATATTTGTCTCCTTTGTAAGTCTTTTGTATTTCACATTTTTGATCATCAGAACAAATTTCCCACACTTAACCTTTTCCTTATACAAATGTATATTGTGTTCTTTGCTCGATTTGTGTATTGTTCCAATTCACTTATTCAACATTTTAAGGATATCGGATTAAATTAAATCAGAACAGAATTTGGATTAGATATGAATTATGGGTCCTCAATGATATTCACCTTCGTACTTTATTTGGCATTTTTTTTTAGTTTTTTTATTCCGTTGTAACTGATGAGTCTTTTATAGAAGAAACGCGCGTCTGACGTATCTATGACGAGTTTACATAGAAAGACGAACCTGTTTATATGTACCCTTGTATTCACATGGATCTTTACTAGGACAAATTTTACAACAGGAATCTTTTGGTTGAAATGCTCTGTCCAGGGAACATGTCAAAGGTGGGCAAGATTCTCTCTCACAAATAGCAGTTCCTTCCTGTGAAGAGATGACAAATCACTCAAACTTATTTTATTAGTAGTACTTAATTGAAAGTAAAATCAAAAACTTTGTATTTTTCTGCAATATGATTTTCAAAAATAATAGCAAAAAAACATTACACAAAAAAAAATGGTTGATGACTTGCATGTACATAGAGACATTTAGCTGATAGTATGTACTAGCTAGAGACATATTTGCATGTTGCTTATTTTATTTTGCCCCTTTAGTTTTCACAATTTAAATGGAAATAATTAAAGTCTTTGATAACAGTACATACCCTCTCAATCAGAGAGATTGTTTTTTAATTTCAGTATACTGTTTTTAAAATTCTTGATAGACTTGTATATTACAAATACATTACTATAATTGAATGAGTTTTTAAGTCGAAATTATGTTATAATATGAAAAAACTCCCATTCGACCAAGTATGATTTGTATTTATGCTAATTCTTTTGTCGTTTAAAACAGATATTCATTCCATTACAAATATACTTCCATAAAGGCATTTTAAAATTTATACCTCAATATATCAACACAAATTCAACATGTTTATATGGCAAGAAAAAAAAGATCATTTATATTTAAAAAAACGAATAGAAATGAGAAAATGCATACATTTTACACAGATACTTTACAAATATACATGCTCAGATATACATCTCGTGTAAAAAGCGTGATAAAAGAAAGATATTCTGAAGTAACAAGAATAGAGCCAAATTCAATAAAATCACGAAATCTTGTTGTATATGTCAAAATATTAAGAATAAGCATAATGTTTATGAATGAATAATTACTATAGTCTCACCATACATGTACATTTTGTGCAGTTCCCTGGCATAAATAGCTGTCCTGTTTTGTAAATTTTATTTTGAAAGAAGCACCTCCCACCAGGTAAATTAAATATTCTTCTTTCTCCTGAAACAATATATGTCCAGTATAAAATGATGATCATGATTGTTTTTGTTTAGTTTTTTTTCGTTTTTGTTTGTATTTTTTTGTTCGGTTTTGGTTTTGTTTTGGAGGGGGAGGGGATACAAATGGTAAACGATACAATGAGTAATTATAATTATATTCTAACTGTGTCTTTCCAAGCAGGTGTTTTAATGTCTTATATAGGAGTTATAGATAAAAGTAAAACAACAAAAATATCGAACTCAAAGGAAAATTCAAAACGGAAAGTCCGTTTTCAAATGGCAAAATCAAAAGCTCAAACACATCAAACGATGATGATTCATAAACTCATCAAATAAAGGCAACAGTAGTATACCGCTATTCGAAATTCATAAATCGATTGAGAAAAAAACAAATCCGGGTTACAAACTAAAACTGAGGGAAACACATCAAATATAAGAGGAGAAGATACACGACTTTTAATGTAGTACGCCAGACATGCGTTTCGTCACTATAAAACGCATTAGTGGCTCTCGAATCAAAACAGTTGGAAAACCAAATCAGTTACGAAATTGAAGAGGATTATACAGAAAACATGGTAAATGAGTTGTCATTGCTATGGTCATAATTATAAATTAGCTGTTTAAAAAGCTTTGAATTTTTTGAAATACAAAGCATTTTCTATCCCAGGAATAAATAACCTTCGCTGTATTGGGCAAAACCTTTCGGAATTTGTGTATTTTGCGTACAAAAATGTTAATCCTGGTATCTATGATGAGTTTCTTATTCAAAATAGTTTTCGGCAAATCTGCCTTTACCTAAGGGTAGAAAAACATTGGTGCTTTGACATTTTCTGAGGAGATAATTTATAGGAAATTTGATATACCGTTTAAATAACATCTCATATCAACACAAAAGCGTTAACTACTGCTCAATTGATGTTTCTAGTACTTTGTCAGTTTTGTACATCCGTAGCTAACACTAAACTATAACAAATTGATCAACGTGATTCTTTAGTCCATTCGAATATTGCATTCGAACATTGTCATCGTTTGAACTTTCATGGATATATCTTATTTAAAAATGAAGTTATGACTTTTCAAAACCTGATTACGTACCTGAACAAACAGCACAGCATGATCCGTTTGGAGTATATATAACATTAGCTGGACAGTTTAAAACGGGACAAGCTTGCTTTTGACATACTATACTTCCTCTCTGTAAAACAGTAAATAAATGACTCATTAATTTGGTTAAATTTATCTTTTTGAATTCCTATATTTTGTCATTTTTTATGGATTTGCCCTTTTTGAATTTACCTTGGAGTTTGGTAATTTTTTTTAATACTTTTTAGTATATTCATGATATACTTCACGTGGAAGTTTAACACATGTGTTAATCCCTCATTTTTCCAATATCTTGCAACATGTGAAGCAGGATCTGCTTAGCAATCCGGAACACCAGACATAACCACCTGGTTTTTGGTGAGGTTCGTGTTGCTCGATTTGTTAATGTTGTTGATGTTTTCGCGGTTTTTAGTTTTGGCCACGGTTTTGTCTGTTTTTGTTCGACTTATTATATTTGATTGCCCCTCTTTTATCTTTTCTCTCTTCTTATACATAAATGTTAATTTAGAACTGTTGTAAGAACTGTATCCATGTTTTTTTAATGTTATAGTATTATCATGTATTCCATTATCGATCTCATCAAAATGGTTGTATGTATTGCTCTATGATTCCTTCAGTTGTTTAACAACAACGTTTACGCATATTGTTGCAGAGATTCTTGAATTGTATATAACTTTCAACATACGGCAATGATATTGTTTATTTTTAATTGTTTCGATCGTGCATTGTCCTGTGATTTCGAATTTTTATTCTCCGTTTAATATGGGTATTTTGGTATTTTCCTCTTACTTTCAAGTATTGTATGATTTTCCAGCAAAATGCAAGTCAATGTCATCATAATCACATTAGAGGGTTTAGGGTAAATTTGTATACATATAGTTTATACCTGACATAAGCACTTTGTACATGGATCTGAATTTAACGTGAAAGACTCTCCATCACTGAGTTGTTTCCCTTGGAAATTACATCCTAAAATAAAAATAAATAAATATATAAACTGTCTGTCTATAATATATTGTCAAATCATATACCAAAATAACATTTTATACATCATATTTGTATGAAATGAGAATATCAAGTGAAAGCATAAAAGATGAGTTGCACAACAGTGCCACTACAGTCTGCAGAACGGGAGATTGCTTCATATTTCCTATAAACAATCCCATAGAGCTAACTACTTCCAACAAGAGTTTACCTACTAAATACTTTGTTATGAACGAACTGCTACAAAATGTAGGTGAACAAGGATTTTAATACTTATATTTGTGCTAGAGTTGTCTTTCTTTATTCACTAAAAACTGTTAAACTAAAGATATAAATGTCGTACAACGTGTTTGCTATGTACAAAGAGAGAAAAGAAGAACATTCATTAATTGACGTTTAAGTCGAGGATATGTTCTGAATTTATCTTTATCAGAAAACTTCAGTGACATCTTTAAAAAAGATATGTTTAAACATCGGGGAAGCGAGAAATTAAAAAGGGCCTAAACGAATGAGCGAAACGTCAATGTCAACATAACAGTCACAAGCAGTGGAAGTAAAGTACCCTATGACGTTAATCATTTAAAATTAAACACATTCAAAATTTGTTTTTATGAGTTCTTTTACTTTGGACCCTAGCATGACTAAAAAAAGTATTTGAAACACATATATAGGCACTCTTTTGCTTAAGGAATATTAGACCTATTGTTTACTAAATGTATTTTCTTATTAGTTTGCCAATGTCATAAAACATTACAGCTTTCTTCTATGTGTGAAATTTTTTTTTTTTATTCTACTATATTTTTTTATATAGTCTGTTGATATGAGAGAAAATTTATGCATTGAATAGAAAGAAGTTAAGATAATTTGAGTTCCATCCAAAACGGGATGATGCGAGACTTACACTAAGGCACAGATTATCATTCGCCTCTCTTTATTTACTTAGAGTTGTCATGATAGTGAAATTCCATGTCAAATTCGAAAGTAAAAGATCCTTTTTTTCGCTGTCAACTTGTTTAGGTTAATTAGCCGTTTTCGTTTGCATTTAGGCGTACTGTACCCAGTTAGACATATCGTGTCCTATTGACGACGTCCCATTTGTTCTTCAAACAGACTAGTATAAAATGTAAACAAACCTTTTATAAATATGTACGTGGAATTTCAAAAGAATTTTTTGCTTTATCTACAGAAAATTATAATAAGGCATCGTATATAAACAGACCGTTATTGATACTTGTATGATAATCATTTTAACATGTATACTTTAAAATGTATACAGTCAGTCATCATTTAGACTTTAAAACAACCAAACACGATGAATTTCGTTAAATCTACAACACAAATATAAAAGCGCGGCTATTGCAGCTGGTATATGTGAGGGTCTGGATTGGGTTCACAGAATAGAGAATAATGGTTAAAAATATAAAAAATAGAGAAAAATAGGCATAAAAAATAATGAATAGAGAATAATGGGGTGCTAAAAAATAAAGAAGAGAGAATAATGGGGTGTTGCAATATAAAGAATATAAAAAAATGTGAACATAAAAATAAAGAATAAAGAAAAATGGCATAAAAGATTAAGGGAGCTGCCATTTGATTTTTATGGGGGGGGGGGGCTAGGATGAAAAATTTTGTCCTGCATTTTTTTTAGTTGTAATCTCTGTCCTGTCTTTTTATTTTTCACTCTATTCGGTCCTGCCTTTTTTTTTTTTAGTTTATCCTGACTTTTTTTTACATAAATTGTCATCCTGCCTTTTTTTTGCAAAGTGTCTCATCCCGCCTTTTTTTTTTTACTCAAAACTCCTGTCCTGCCTATTTTTTTCAAATTTCATCCTAGCCCCCCCCCCCCCCCCCCCCCCCCCCCCATAAAAATCAAATGGTAGCTCCCTAAAGAATAAAGAAATGAAGGACCTTCCATCCAGACCCTCGTATCTTAAAATCATGTTCTAACTTTGAGAGCACCAGTATGTCTCATTCTATGATTTTTCTGCCTTTACCTTGCTTTAACCGATTCAAATTATTTAATTTTCTGAGTAAAAATCTCAACTAGATCGCGTTGTATTTAAGTAGACATCAGTTATCTGCTGGTAAGTAAATATTTAGAATGGTTTGAATATAAAGATAAATGCCTTTTGTGGTCTGTTTGATGACGGTAAATTATAATGACTGCTCAAGAGACTCTATGAAGTACTTGTTTAAGTCCATTATATCTTTCGGTGCACACCCAGAGGGCGGGTGCAAGACTTTACAAACTTTTGAATAATAAAATGCATTCCAGGACTTACTAAATGGATTCACTTATTCAAAGAAACATTATTATTCAAGTACTTTTTATCAATGTAATACAAATTTTTATTGAAGACTCTTTATACATCCTATGGAATAACTCATTTTTATTCAAGACACGTTATACATCCTATGAAATAACTCATGATAGATACCAAGGTTACTCGCGTTTCAAAAGACATCTCAGTGGCGCTCGAGTCAAAACAGTTGAAAGGTCAAACTGCATAGAATTTCCACTAGTTCTGTTATGAATTAACTGGTTATAAAAAAAAACATTCATATACGGGATCTCTCTCTCCATTTTATATTCTTTTTTATGGAACATTAAGGTAATCAGATGATACAATATTATTTTTTACACTATTCAATTTATCGTGTCTTTACCCTAGCAGTAAAAAGACTCTCTTTGTTACCTTTTTCTCTTTTAGAGAAAATAGCTAGAATATACTAATTCCCAAATCATGTACACCAATTGATAACATGTAATAGCATCGTGCATGTTTAGAAAATGACTGTCCCAGTGAATGGTGTTTTTACTGTTTGCTAAGCATCAAAAATAAATTTGCTGAAATGTCAATCAAACAAACAAATTTAATACACTTTGACTTTGAGATGAAGAACATCAATAAAAGCTGTTCCTTTGCTTTTTTGTGTGTTTTGCTTTGAATGTACTGATTTTGTGTGATGAATGGATACTCCAGTTCCTTTCTTTACTATTAAACTTTCAAGATTATGTGATGGTTGGGTTCGTGTTGCTTCCGACTTTTTAAGACCCTCATGGGTAGTAGTCATTGTCGTTGAAACATCTCCGTATTACTAAAGTCTTTTTGAGACCCTCATGGGTAGTAGTCATTGTCGTTGAAACATCTCCGTATTACTAAAGTCTTTTTGAGACCCTCATGGGTAGTAGTCATTGTCGTTGAAACATCTCCGTATTACTAAAGTCTTTTTGAGACCCTCATGGGTAGTCATTGTCGTTGAAACATCTCCGTATTACTAAAGTCTTTTTGAGACCCTCATGGGTAGTCATTGTCGTTGAAACATCTCCGTATTACTAAAGTCTTTTTGAGACCCTCATGGGTAGTCATTGTCGTTGAAACATCTCCGTATTACTAAAGTCTTTTTGAGACCCTCATGGGTAGTCATTGTCGTTGAAACATCTCCGTATTACTAAAGTCTTTTTGAGACCCTCATGAGTAGTCATTGTCGTTGAAACATCTCCGTATTACTAAAGTTGATAGATTTTTAGTTCAATATGCAATATTTTTTAAACCATTTCGTCTTTTCTTAATTTCACCTTTGGTCATACAACTGTCATTCCTTCTTCGGATTACGATAATATAGTGTATCCTTTGTATTTTCCTGTGATGTTGACTGCATTTGCTAAAGTTTCAAATCAATTCAAGAAAAAAACAATCGATTGTTTTCCCTTAAAATCTCTCTCGGCTCAGGCGCGTTTAAAACAACAAAAAAATACAGTTATTATTATCATTATTGTTATTATTATCAATACTTTTATTAGTTAGCAGTATGTGGACGACCTTATACCGTATTGATATGCTGCTAGGATCTGCACAGGGAACATTATATATTGACCACACTGTAAACCATTTAGATTATGATGGAAATCGTTCAACGTGTACAGTGACTGGTACAGACCCGTCCCTTTTAATCTTCGGGTGTTTTTTGTGAAATAAAATCAATCACAATAAGGTGGCAGTCCGTCTTTTTCCAGGTATAAATCCTTGAAAAATTATCCCGTGTTTTCAAAAGTTGCTAAATCTGACACTGATTTGTTGCTTATCGTTTCACTGTAACAAAAACATACGTTTAATCCGTTGTGAAACCGCGCCTTGATTGTTAGTTTGTTCTTTGCTACAGTACAGCAATATCATGATGAAATTGACAAATGTATTGAGATGAACTTTAAGGTCCGGTGTATTATACATTCAATACCTTGGTGGAGGGAAAGTCTCTTCTCTTAGAAAGTGTTGCTCTTTGATTCCGAGACGTTCACCTTACAATACATCCGATTTACTCACCTTTACAAGAGCCACAGCACAGCCCAGGCGTGGTCACAGGGTCCATGCATGGGGTATAGCACTTCATTTCTGATCTAGTTATAACTCCAGCCTACAATGTGAAAATCATAAATCATCACTGTTGCCAACATTTAACTATTATTTAGTGTTTATGACAATCAAACAAAATATTACAAAACATATCGATCACGTGTAAAGAAACATATGTCCAAAATAGTTGAGGGTCTGAATTTATTGTGTGTGTGTGTTGGGGGGGGGGGGGGGGGGGGAGGGGGGGGTCTTCGTTTTCATGTCTGCATTCCTTAATTTATTATGCCCATAATTCTCTTTTCTTTATATTTTAACGTCCCATTATACTCTATTCTTTATTGTTTTTTTTTTTTCATTTTTCTTTATTCTTGTTTTCGATTATTTGTAAATATTCTCTATTTTGTTAACCCCATCCATATCCTCATATTTTTTGCTAAATAAGTAGAAACAAATATCTCAAGAGTCCAAATTCCTCACGACTAATTTTTTTTCAAATTTAAGTCTTCTTAAAACAGGCTATCTTTAATCACCATATTTCCATTGTAACAGTTGGTATTTTATTTTGGTTTTGATTTAAAGTATAAAAAAGTCAATGCTTAAAAAAGGCTACTGCAATGTTTTAACGATTTTAGCATATTTAGCGTACTATTAAAGTTAAGGAATGAGACGGGAATGTTGTTACTCAAACTTTATAGTATTGTATAAAATTTGTTTGCAACAGCACACTTAGCGCTGAGTAACATTTTAATTTTAATAATACATAAAATTGCTGAAATATCTTTCATATATATTTATTAGATTCTTTTTTCGGATACATGTATAATAATGATAGGCTGAGTGTTAATATTTAACATTCAGTAGCTACAAAATGTAATTACTTAAATTAGGGGTAAATATTTCTTTTGTAGATAAATGTAAAATTAATGTCATACAATTTTAAAGTCTAAACGTTAATGTTTTCTATACTTTTTTGTTCGAATATGCCCATTTAAAAGAGAAATTATAACAAACAAACAACTGCTATAGTTTTAATTGTTCAACATAGAAATACATCACCGTGTCTGTTTGATGAAAACCTATGCTTAAAAGCTTTCGGATTCGAAAGACAAATGACAAATCATTGTGTTACGCAAATCCAGCTACCTTTTTTCGTGCATCTTTTAAATTTCTAAAATACTTTCATTTAATTATACAGCTGTGTCTTTATAATTCACAATTTATTATTACTTCTTTCATGAACATTTATTTTACTTATTAAAAATAATATCACATATACACATGTAACAGACTACTTTTAAATTGCTTTTACATGTCTACTTTTTCATTGTAACTTGGCGATTTCAAATAAAATAATCCGTGGAGAGGATTATGGGGAAAATACTACAGATAAAATCAAATATTGTCCGATATTTGAGAAATTTATATAAAATTTAATCTGAAATTTGTTTACAATTTTATTTGTAAAAATACCATTTATATAACATACGTGTTGTATACATGTACGTCGACAAAATGGAATAAGCGTGATCTTTGTTACAGTTCAATTATGCTGTCTTTGTATATTATCATACAGACATGGAAATTTAAGAACTGATTTAAAAGTTAAAGATTGTGGTTAACAGGCTTACATGTTAATATTTTCTCTAGTATAAGAGTAAAGTTTTCATTCTAATTACATTTTTTACTGTTTCGTTTTTGTGTGTAAAAATACAGAATACTAATTTTTTTTTTTAGATTTTGAAATATGTTTTGAAATTTCTAATTTAATTTTTAATTTTGTGTTTTCCTTCAATTCATTATTATACGACCAATTCGGATAAACGTAGCAAGAAAATGTAATCAAAAGTTGAATAATTCTTTAGTTTTAATTTTCATATTTTCATTTGCCGTTAATTCATTGTTGTACGACCAATTGGGGTATTGGAAAAGGTTTTATTTTCCGATCTACAGGAAATCATACTTTTATAGTTGAATAATATTTCAAACTTATGGAATCAATTTATCTTTCTATGAAAATTATATCAGAATATTAATGGTTTTCTTATTTATCATTCAATTTTAAATTAATAAGACTTTTCTCATACAGTTTACAAGTTTGTGTCCTCATTCTTCCATTGGAATTTTAAGTAACCACCTTAAAATTAAATATCAATGTCCAAAAAACTTGACCAGAAAAGAAAATTGGCTATCTCGACCACTGTTCAAGGTTACAAAAACGTTTACAATGTAATTAAGCTTTAATTTCAAATTTTCAATCTTTGAAAGCTTAAACAGGCCTTTAAACAGCCAGAAGCCGAAAATTATAACAATCGAAAACCGGTGTCGCTAACCGCTAAATTGACAGGGGGTGTCTTGAAAAGTCAAAAACGATAATTAATAGCGAAAGTCATTTTCACAAACTTTAATTTTTCAATAATGAACTTGAAAAGAGGGTATTTAACAAGGACCATCGTCCTATACACGCTTAATTAAGAAAGTGAAATGTCCGGCTGAAAAGCTTTTGTTGTACACCTCGTGTTTAAGGGGTTGAGTCATGGTCTCTCAATGTTCCATTAGTTTACCACACTTCAAATGGCTAAACAAATTACACATTAGATTCTGTGATAAACTGAAGATAATAGAGTATTCCACAATGAATTTTCATGCTCTTTTGACTACCCTGAGGGATAAAAAAAATAACTAAAGAGAACTCTAGGATTTTCTGTCGTAGAATTCAATAGGTAATAGCTTGAATTTGTATATCTGTCCGTAAAGGTTTTTAAAAAATGTTAGTATTTGGAAATGAAAGTGTTAGAGAAATGATGTCATACAGAACCCTAAAATTCAAAGTATGTCCATCTACAGCTTTGTAATGTACTAATTATCATAATAAGTCATTCTGTTTAGCCATGATTTGAAATAAGTATAGCAAATAGTTTTAGTACATGTATGCACATTCTTATAAAATTCTAGTTCCATTCAATGTCGAGTGCATGCATGTATACATTGTATCATGGGTAAAGGAGAAGTGGGGTAACTGGCAATATACTAGTATCAAGACGACATTTTAACAACACGCAAACACACAATAATCAAACGTAAACACCCCTTCTGATGTTTTATTCTGCCATAGAGCCACGTATATATACAACTCGACATAATAATGCTCAATTTTTCAGGTTTCTGGATATACGCCACCTTTCAAAAATTATGGACCCACCCTTGAGAGTCCAAATTGTATCAATCCATTTTATGCTCCTTTTTTCTTTCTCTCTCCCTCACCCCCCCCCCCCCCCCCCAAATCTAATTGAACTAATCGAATAATATACATACCCTGCAGTGCAATGTAACACAAGGATCATCAGCCTCTACCCAGGACTGTCCACTATCAAATGCTTTTCCCTGGTACTGACAACGTTTACAGACCTCACAACACTGGTTCTTCTGCCACGGATTATCGAACAATATCATGTAACAACCTTCTAAACTCTGACACACTTCTCGCTCACACCGAACTTCACCGTTCTGAAATAAAAAAAAGTAGAACAGTTTTAAACATATAATAAATAAATAAATAAATAAGCAAAAAATGAAAACAAAACGTTATACATTCCATGCGTCCGGAGCGCTTTTCTGGATTTACCTTCACCAGGAACGCTCAAGGCCAAATATTTGAGAGCTAAGGATGTATAAGAACCGAAACAGTTAAAGAGCTATATTACCAAAAAAGGACCTTAAAAAATAGCCAAATCCATATAAGGTCAACTTTACCTGAGGAAGTTGAAACCTTATTTGCTAATAATTTCAAAATTTATTAACGGACAATTTTAGAAAGGTTTGTTATAAATCATGTCAGTACCGAAGGACTGACTACTGGGCTGATGATACCCTCGGGGACTGATAGTCCACCAGCAGAGTTATCGACCCAGTGCTGTAAAAAATGAAAACAACAAATCAAAAATTCCATGCGTCCGAAGCGCTTTTCTTGATTTACCTTCATCAGGAACGCTCAAAGCCGAATATTAGAAAGCCAAGGATGTATAAGAACCGAAACAGTTGAAGAGCTTTATTACCAAAAAGGACATAAAAAATAGCCAAATCCATCTAAGGTCAATTTTGCCTGATGTAGTTGAAACCTTATTTCTAATAATTTCAAAATTTGTTAATGGACAATTTTAGAAAGAATGCTGAAAAGAATGAATGTTCATTCTAAAATTAGAATATAATGCATGAGGCTCTGGATAGGGGGTCCTTCATTTCTATATCTTTTATTTTTTTTGTCATTTTTCTCTATTCTTTATACTTTTTGCCCATTATTCTCTATTCTATATTTTTTTTGTCCATTTTTCTCTATTCTTTATATTTTTTTCCCATTATTCTCTATTCTGTAACTCCCATTCACACCCTCATACAATGGGTGGTGGACAAGGAGGAAGCAATTCGTTTTTCCTCCAACCCGTGTTCTTTTTTTTCTCCAGTTTCCGTCGTCTTTCTATCCCTAATAGTATCAATATATAATAAGGAGATGTGGTATAATTGTCAATGAAGCAACTATCTCCACCAGAATTTGAATGACGTTGATATAAGCGATAATAGGTCACTGAACGGCTTTCGACAAATATTTCAATGGTTATGTTGAGTTGTATATACGTGGCTCTATGGCAGAGCGAAACATCAGAAATATTCTAGAAATTTCATTTATGGACAAACAATTCAACTTAAAAGTGGAGGTTATTTTTCTTCTCCTGGTAGAACGATTTTTGAACCGAAATCTCCTTATTCTAAATCTACATTCTATTTTTAATTATCATTTTATTCGCCTGGTAGAAAGATTCTTTACCTAATTCTCCTCAAACTAAATTTACTGTCCGATTTTTTATTCTGCTGGTAAAACGATTTTTTAATCGAAATGGCCTTAATCTAAATCTACACTCATTTATGAGTTCCATTTTTGTTATCCAGCGTCCCAATTTTAACAAATGCCTTATTGCTACTATCATTCCTTTATAAAAAAAATTACTCTTTGAGTTATCTTCACTTAAATGGCTAATTTGACAATTTGAATCGAACGAACACAAATATTTGATATTTGATAAATCAGTCTAAATAATGCAATAATACACTTATTCTTCTTTATTCTAATAAACAGCCTTATCCATTAATTGCCAATCTGTCTGAAAATTTGCATCTTTAAGCAAAGAACTAGACCTATTGAGAACTGTTATTTAACAATCCAAGATGGCGGTATACAGTTAATCTGCCTTAACAAATACCTTATTGATACTCCTATGACCCATCACAACTCATCCCCCACCACAACTATCACCACACATACTCTGCATGACAATGGTAATTGAGGTGTGAATGGTCTGAATGCGAAGGATAAATTAACATAATAAAAATAAAATGTTTGGAGGAATGCAAAGAAAATAATTTTAATATATTTTTTTTAATGTCGCTAGTCAGGGAAAATTCTGGACTCTGATATCTAAGAAGAAGAAGAAAAAGATGTTCTATTTCCTTTAAATGGGTTCACAAAGAGCACATTACAATATGTCTTTATTTAAACAACAACATAAAACAATGACAAAGTATACATACAAAGAAAAGAAAAGAAAAAGAAGTTTGAACATGAATGTACTACACACACATATATAAGTAAATATATATATACAAGTGTAATTTCTCCTTATCAGGCACTCCCTACCATGAAAAAGTGATATGATTACTAATATTGTCAGGCGATATAAAAAACAAAAAATGGTCAAACCTCGACTCTTAGAATTAAAATGTTATTCCCTGAGATAACTATGTTTATCTAATGCGCACGAAATTGAATAGTATACAGGCATATTTGCATAAGAATAGCAAACAAGTTAGCATATAAGAAGAAAAAACCCAGCCATTTAAGATCAAGTATGAGATAATGTATGTAACAGTATGCAAAATATGAAAAGGGCATTAAATATGGACATCGTATTTTTGTATTCTGAGATTTAATACGCTCGGTACAATAAATATCACGGGTGTAAACTAAGACCGTCGATTGCGGAAGACATTTTAAAATTTAGTTTCAAATAAATTGAGTCCACATAATGGGTTTTAGATCTTGATAAACTAAAGTTCTAAAATTCATGCACAATCATGAGCACTTAAACTTCGTCTATGACCAAAATTACCAAATATTTATGAGCGCATAAAATTTATTTAATCGTCTCGTAAATTTAAAGATGGTAGGCTGAGGTTATTTTTCTAAAAATTCAGAGATAAGGGTATCGTAAATCAAAACCCTTATAAAATATGAATATTAATTCATATTTAAAAACATAGACAACGGCTGTACTCGGTGGTAATAACGAACCTAAATGCACACATTAAAATTTGTAACTAAATATATACGGCAAGATGAGAATATATATATTCATATTTCAAAATAGGACTTGTTAACAATAGTTGTGGTTATCTCAAGTTGGTAATTTAAGCAACTAATTATACTTATTACAATGAAATGCTATCTTAGACTTGTATCAAAGCTTAGGTGGTCGCATGTCACAAAGCGGCAATCGTTGGGGTAAGGGGCGGGACCACAATACTCAATTTGTTGATCAATTAAAGTTTTCAACATTTTTATGTCCACTCAAAGAGAGATAAATAATCAGAATTCCTTGCATATAGAAATTGTTTAGAAGACTGAAATAAGCACACAGGAAATCGATAAGCCTTAAAACGCCAAATATTTTTAACTGTCCATTTTTCTAATTAATAAAAATAAGAAGATGTGGTATCATTGCCAATGCGTTAACCCTCACCAATTCTCCATCTCTGAGTTCTCCATAAGTTTATATCTATCGAAATATTATTTCACTTATTAATTATTTACTTGATGTTTTTTTTTAATTTTTATCCAAGTATCATTGTACCTTTATACGTGTTGATTTTATTTTTCACTTTTCAATATTTCTTTACTTTTATATATTGTATCTATAAACTTACTAGATTCACGATTATCATATTATAAATATATACGTTTTTAAAAAATGTATAATTTTGCTCCTTTCAAAAAATATATATAATAACTTGTTATTGTCAAAAATATTTCTCCTTATTGTGAATATCATACTTGTCTATTATATACAGACACGAATTTAGATGATGTAATCTTTTAATATTTTCTGAAGGATATATTAGTTCAATATTTTAGTAGGGTCCTTGCTGCTTCGTCTTTAATTTTCAATCTACCATTTAGTAGACCAGAGTTTCCCTTATCTTCATGGTGCACGTGCAGGTCTTTAATTAATCTACAGTAATTTATTACCTCTTTGATATCTTTGTAATGTTCCTATCACTGGACAAAGAAGTAATTGCAATACGTGCATGCATATATTTTAGGATTCTTTAATTGCAGGGTTATACAAAGTGACTGGACATGAGTTATTTAAAAACAGGAAGTAAGACCGGATATGACGTAATGACGCTGATGACAAATGAAAGGAATGCTTCTTACCGAACTGTTGCATGTTTGTTGTTACCTCCTTATTTAGAACATAGACCAGTCATTACCAGTCTAGCCATTGAAAATACAAAACACACTATAAAAATCCGTTTTAAACACTAATACTAAGAAAAAACATGTTAGAAACATTTTATTTAATTTCTAAAGTACACGTATATTAAAATATGGAAGTAGTATCTAGACATTATATTACTTCAATGATTAAAATTACTATTTTTCCCGATTGAGCTAAGTTTAAAATATCAGTGACATGGAAAGTAATATAATCATTTAATTTGTATAAACAGTGTCTCTTTAACACACTTGTAACTGAGTCAAGAGGGCGGCATTTTGTTCTTGATTGCTCACGCCCCATCAGGATCTATAACAGAGACATATACAACTTATTAATGGTTAAAAAAATGACTGCATTATAATATTGGATTTAAATGGTGTTGTAGTATTAGAACAGTAGTGTCAATAAATTATTTATCTTTTCTAGAAGTGGTCTATCATTTTTATTGTTATTTCTGTTGTTAAAACCAAATATCAATTTTAAAAAGATTAGGATGAAAGTTTGATTTAGGTAATATACTTATAAGTACTATGTGGACAGACGGTAATAAAGTATACAAAGTTTGTTATTTCTTGTAATAATGTCTCCTCAATAAAACTTCTTAAATGGTTCGACAGCACTTAATCAGTATATTGACATGGGTTTGTATGTTAAGATAGGAAAAAATACCCCAGAGGTACCCTATGGGTAAACTAGGAATGTTTTTTTTCTCTCATCATAACAGAAGTACATTACTAGCGGCAATCTTATGATAATTTAACTTTTTTATTTTGATAATTTGATTGTTTTTCATTATCTTTCTGAATTTATCATTATTTTCGTTTCATGTTTTGTATTAATGTTAAAGTAGATAAATTAACAGATCCCTAATTATTTAAAAAAAAAAAAAACAGTAACAAAACAGATATATTGACTTGGCACTGGTGTATATATTTTATTTTTAAAATTAAGAGCCCG